CTATTTTTAAAGCTACACAACGTTCTGGCCTCTATAACTGTACTTGGGAGTTTGTTCCACTCATCCACAACTCTATTACCAAACTAGTACTTTCCTATATCCTTCCTGAATCTGCATTTTTCCAACTTAAAACCATTGCTGCGAGTCCTATCTAGGCTAGATATTTTCAGCACACTATTTACATCCCCTTTATTTATTCCTGTCTTCCATTTATACACCTCAATCATATCCCCCCTAATATGTTTCATAACAATAAAATGCTTTCAAATGAGCTGATGTAGGTAACAGCTCTTAGCTTGTTAGGGATCCTTAACCTAATCTTGTCAAACCCTGTGTAAAAAAAAAAAGGGAGAGAGAGAGAGAGAGAGAGAGAAGAGAGGTAGGGGGAATGGCAGGATGTCAGGGTAGTGACCTACCAAGGGAATTAGCATTACCTCGCTCCCTCATTCCATCTCTTTACCCCTGTCATCCGTCCTTCCCCAGACCCTCCAGTTTCTCTCTCTAGGAAAATCATGTCCTCTACTCATACCTCATACCTGTTAAGTCCCACAATAAACGCACACCAGCTTTCTAAACCCATGTGAAAGCAGGAAGAAAACATTTCTTCAATCACAGTGGTTTCTTGACGCTGTATACATTAAACAATATAATATATATATATATATATATATATATATATATATATTATATAAAATATATATATATATATATATATATATATATATATATATATATATATATGTATATATATGTACCTGGAAAGGGTTTTGGGGGTTAACGCCCCCGCGGCCCGGTCTGTGACCAGGTTTTATGGCCTGGAAGTGTCGAAATTATCGATAAAAACTTTAAATTTATAAATACAAATAATTCCTCAAGATTACTCCTGAAGTATATATTATGTCAAGTAATTAATTGTAAAACTCACAAGGTTGGCAGTACTGTACAGTACGCTGGTTCTTACCCACAAGGTTGGCAGTACTGTACAGTACGCTGGTTCTTACCCACAAGGTTGGCAGTACTGTACAGTACGCTGGTTCTTACCCAAAAGGGTTTGGGGCAGTACTGTACAGTACGCTGGTTCTTACCCACAAGGTTGGCAGTACTGTACAGTACGCTGGTTCTTATCCACAAGGTTGGCAGTACTGTACAGTACGCTGGTTCTTATCCACAAGGTTGGCAGTACTGTACAGTACGCTGGTTCTTACCCACAAGGTTGGCAGTACTGTACAGTACGCTGGTTCTTACCCACAAGGTTGGCAGTACTGTACAGTACGCTGGTTCTTATCCCACAAGGTTGGCAGTACTGTACAGTACGCTGGTTTCTTACCCACAAGGTTGGCAGTACTGTACAGTACGCTGGTTCTTACTCACAAGGTTGGCAGTACTGTACAGTACGCTGGTTCTTATCCACAAGGTTGGCAGTACTGTACAGTACGCTGGTTCTTACCCACAAGGTTGGCAGTACTGTACAGTACGCTGGTTCTTACCCACAAGGTTGGCAGTACTGTACAGTACGCTGGTTCTTACCCACAAGGTTGGCAGTACTGTTACAGTACGCTGGTTCTTACCCACAAGGTTGGCAGTACTGTACAGTACGCTGGTTCTTACCCACAAGGTTGGCAGTACTGTACAGTACGCTGGTTCTTACCCACAAGGTTGGCAGTACTGTACAGTACGCTGGTTCTTATCCACAAGGTTGGCAGTACTGTACAGTACGCTGGTTCTTACCCACAAGGTTGGCAGTACTGTACAGTACGCTGGTTCTTACCCACAAGTACAGTATTTTTTTCCGTTTTTCGTACCTTTGAGAAACAGCGTCCGGTATTTTCAACCAAAAAATCAAACATACTGTATCGAATTCCGTACCATATCGTACGGTTCTGCCAGTCCTGTCTACCCACTACAACACTACCTACCACCACCTTGCGTTTAAAAAAAAAACCTGTGCCAATATTATAATAAAATCTTTTACGCTATAATGTCAAAACAAGCCACAGAACAGATCATCACATGAAGGAGACTTACATCACCTGGCTTTTTTCCTGAGGAATAAATTAAACACAAAATGACTGTATTCCTTTTTTACAAATGACACAAAATTCAGAAGCGTTTTTATAAGTGTAGACTATTGACGGTGACTTGATCTTCACGGGGCAACAAGAAGATCGGAGAGGCTGGCCATATAGGTGGTACACCTCCCGGAGCATCACACACGTGGGGTCAGAATCCTCTCTGACTCATGGATCACTGCCAACTACACACTTCTCTTCACCTCTAGGTGTTATTGTGTTAACCTCTAGACAAGTTAGCCTTCACAGTAATAAGGTTAACATAAAAATCGCGACAAAATTGTTAACAACACGAACAGCATCAACAAAGCCAACAACATAATCGGGGTTTATCAATAAGACAGTCACTATCGCAGTCATGACTTAGTCACTATCGCAGTCATGACTTACAGGTATCAACTGGTAAGAATCAATACACTTATAACATGAAAATGATGCAGGTGTCACCGATCAGTCACTAGTAACACCCACATGATGAGCAGTGAGCCATCCGGATGATCAACAGCCTCTTTGATCAGGCCCTGATGCACCGGGAGGCCTGGTCAAGGACTGGGCCGCGGGGGCGTTGACCCCCGGAACACCCTCCAGGTAGACTCTTGGTAGCAGTGAGCCACCTTGATGATGAGCAGTGAGCCACCTGGATGATAAGCAGTGAGCCACCTGGATGATAAGCAGTGAGCCACCTGGATGATGAGCAGTGAGCCACCTGGATGATGAGCAGTGAGCCACCTGGATGATGAGCAGTGAGCCACCTGGATGATGAGCAGTGAGCCACCTGGATGATGAGCAGTGAGCCACCTGGATGATGAGCAGTGAGCCACCTGGATGATGAGCAGTGAGCCACCTGGATGATGAACAGTGAACCACCTGGATGATGAGCAGTGAGCCACCTGGATGATGAGCAGTGAGCCACCTGGATGATGAACAGTGAACCACCTGGATGATGAGCAGTGAGCCACCTGGATGGTGAACAGTGAGCCACCTGTATGATGAGCAGTGAGCCACCTGGATGATGAGCAGTGAGCCACCTGGATGATGAACAGTGAGCCACCTGGATGATGAACAGTGAGCCACCTGGATGATGAACAGTAAGCCACCTGGATGATGAGCAGTGAGCCACCTGGATGATGAGCAGTGAGCCACCTGGATGATGAGCAGTGAGCCACCTGGATGATGAACAGTGAACCACCTGGATGATGAGCAGTGAGCCACCTGGATGATGAGCAGTGAGCCACCTGTATGATGAGCAGTGAACCACCTGGATGATGAGCAGTGAACCACCTGGATGATGAACAGTGAACGACCTGTATGATGAACAGTGAACCACCTGTATGATAAGCAGTGAGCCACCTGGATGATGAGCAGTGAACCACCTGTATGATGAGCAGTGAGCCACCTGGATGATGAGCAGTGAGCCACCTGGATGATGAGCAGTGAGCCACCTGGATGATGAGCAGTGAGCCACCTGGATGATGAGCAGTGAGCCACCTGGATGATGAGCAGTGAGCCACCTGGATGATGAGCAGTGAGCCACCTGTATGATGAGCAGTGAACCACCTGGATGATGAACAGTGAACCACCTGGATGATGAGCAGTGAACCACCTGGGTGCTGAACAATGAGCCACCTGTATGATGAGCAGTGAACCACCTGGATGATGAGCAGTGAACCACCTGGATGATGAGCAGTGAACCACCTGGATGATGAGCAGTGAACCACCTGGATGATGAGCAGTGAACCACCTGGATGATGAACAGTGAACCACCTGGATGATGAACAGTGAGCCACCTGGATGATGAACAGTGAACCACCTGGATGATGACAGTGAGCCACCTGGATGATGAACAGTGAACCACCTGGATGATGAACAGTGAACCACCTGGATGATGAACAGTGAGCCACCTGGATGATGAACAGTGAACCACCTGGATGATGAGCAGTGAACCACCTGGATGATGAACAGTGAGCCACCTGGATGATGAACAGTGAGCCACCTGGATGATGAACAGTGAACCACCTGGATGATGAACAGTGAGCCACCTGGATGATGAACAGTGAGCCACCTAGATGATGAGCAGTGAACCACCTGGATGATGAACAGTGAGCCACCTGGATGATGAACAGTGAGCCACCTGGATGATGAACAGTGAGCCACCTGGATGATGAACAGTGAGCCACCTGGATGAGTAGGAAGCAGGTCACAAGGTACAATAACTTAACCTTGCAGCCCGGTGAAAAACCAGCCAGAGTGTAGGAAGTTTATTTTCCCAAGAACTACCCAACGTCGGTTTCTTGACGCTTGCCGGAAGTATGGCTTCAAGACTGAGAGGTTGATATGAAAAAAAAAATACCGAAGCAGAATGGAAAACTTTAGTTAGGCAACATTTCGTTTGGTCTCCAGGCTTTGTATCCAGGCTTGGTCTCCAAGCCTAGTTTCCAAAATTTAGCCTTCAGGCATGATTTCCTAGACTGGTCTCTAAGCCCTAGTGCTGTGTAAGGTTACGACTATGATATATACTTTGGTTAAAGTTAAGCCAGGTTGGGTCAAGTTAGAGATACATATTTTTATATAAACGTATATTTTTAACCACAAATAAACAGATTAAAACACGGCCATAATACCTCCAACCACTAGGATGGCCAAGTGCATTCAAGACAAGCCCACAGCTCTAGGATTAAAACTGGTTGGAGGATTTTTGAGTGTGATGGAGTCGTTGACATAACCGCAGAACACGTAAGGAAAGAGTGTAGAGAGATGTGAAGGTGGAGGTTAACAGAAAGTTAGAACGATGCTGTGGTAAGAGCTGGATAAGGCGATGAGGGCAGAAACCTCTAGAAGGATATTAATGTTGAGCTAAGAGGTAGGGTGTGTGGGGAAGTGGGTGAATGGGGGGATGGGAGGAAGCGTGCCCAGGTAACTAGGCGAGCACAGTGGTAGAGCTGGCAGTGTGGGTGAGTGTTGGGTCTAGGGCAGAGCAGCTCATCACCACCACCTTGAACGCTCCATCCCAGGCGACCTCAACCAGTTGCTAGTTCCGCTACATCACCATGCTTCACTCAGCGCAGGTACTGTTAACTGTCGAGTCAGGTACTGTTAACTGTCGAGTCAGGTACTGTTACCTGTCGAGTCAGGTACTGTTAACTGCCGAGTCAGGTACTGTTAACTGTCGAGTCAGGTACTGTTAACTGTCGAGTCAGGTACTGTTAACTGTCGAGTCAGGTACTGTTACCTGTCGAGTCAGGTACTGTTACCTGTCGAGTCAGGTACTGTTACCTGTCGAGTCAGGTACTGTTACCTGTCGAGTCAGGTACTGTTACCTGTCGAGTCAGGTACTGTTAACTGTCGAGTCAGGTACTGTTAACTGTCGAGTCAGGTACTGTTAACTGTCGAGTCAGGTACTGTTAACTGTCGAGTCAGGTACTGTTACCTGTCGAGTCAGGTACTGTTAACTGTCGAGTCAGGTACTGTTAACTGTCGAGTCAGGTACTGTTAACTGTCGAGTCAGGTACTGTTACCTGTCGAGTCAGGTACTGTTAACTGTCGAGTCAGGTACTGTTACCTGTCGAGTCAGGTACTGTTACCTGTCGAGTCAGGTACTGTTACCTGTCTCTACTATCTGACCTCACCGTCACCCTCGACTCGCTTCTCTCTCCTCTAGGAAATTCACACTTTATCAATTCAAGATTCTTCTTAAAAAACACTTACTCACCCAGAACTAAATAAATATTGAATAACATGTTTTTAATTTTAATGCTACAAATTTGTACAACTATAATGTTTCATAATTGTAATGTTCAGATTTCATTGTTTAAAATACTCAATTGTACTTCATATTGTAAATTGTTTACTCTAATTTTTACCACAGAATCTATCATAGCTTAGTTAATCTTAAGTTAATTTTAAGCCTGTCCATAATGCTCTGCATACAAGGGGCTTTTGAATAACAAAAAAAGCACAATACCGTGACTGGAACGATACACAGATAACCTGCACATAAAAGAGAGAAGCTTACGACGACGTTTCGGTCCGACTTGGACCATTTGTAAATGGTCCAAGTCGGACCGAAACGTCGTAGTAAGCTTCTCTCTTCTATGTGCGGGTTATTTGTGTATGGGGCTTTTGGCATGTACACCCAACTACTATAATTCCTTTTACAACTATGTATCATGTCCAAATAAAAATTATTATTATTATTATTATTATTATTATTATTATTATTATTATTATTATTATTATTATTATGTGTTATTAACTATGATCAAGTTTTTCACGAAAAGTGTTTCCCAGTGATGATTTTTTTTTATTTTTTCCCAGTTTGTTGAATATTTTTGAATTGTTACTTTTCGGAAAATAAAAGTAAATCAGCGTGTATATGTTAAGTTAGGAAGCATCACATATTAACGTGGTAGGACTGACTCGGGGGTGAGTAGGCTCAGGGGTGGTTTAGGGAAGGAGGTAGACTTAACTGTAGACTGCAATGGGCCAGAGTCGGTGTAGGATAAGGTTGGGGTAAGGTGTAATATGTTTGGGTCAAAGGTACTGTGGCAGGGGTTTTACAGGGTTGAGGTAGAGGTTAAGGCAAGAGTGGGGTTGGGATGGGACAGGGGTTAGGTTGAAAACACAATAGTATAATGTCACTCCTCTTGAATACACAAGAGATATACACCGAGGGGTATATATCTCTGTGCATATACAGAGTTTACTTTATTCCTTATTTTAGGGATTAGTGTTCTTCACTGGTTGTGAAAGAGTTACATGTAGCCTCAGTGACCTTTGTGTAGTTGACAAGCTTTAAACCCAATTAACCAACCCACAAATCCTTCCAGTCCATCATGTGTCACCAAATGTCTACCGGTGACCTGCTGGAGTAACGTTACCTCACTTGGGAAAGCCACAGGTGTCGTGCTGGCATGGACTCTTCTCCGGTAATGGGGACAAAGGGGGAGTGGGGGTAGTGGCTGTTGTTGGGGTGGTGAAGGTAGTGGCTACAACGGATCATGGTGGTAATGGCTGTGGTTGGGTGGTTACCTGAAGTCGCTTTCGGAGGTCACCGTCCCCGCGGCCTAGTCGATCAGGTTGTTGGTGCCTCGTCACCCGCAGCTCAACGTATGCACCACAGCACAGTTGATCATGAACTGATTTGAGGACTCTGTCGAGTTCCCTCTTTGAGACAAAGGTTATAAACTATGATGTAGCTTTCTCGTCCTCATTCTAACTGGTACATTTCGAGGGACTTCAAGCACCTCCAGTGATTTAGGTACTTGATTGAATTTATACGAGCTACATATTTCTGTTCTGGAATTTTTCCTGTTTTAAAGAGGGGGAGGGCTATTAAAACGCAGCAATATTCCAATCTAGAGAGAACAAATGAAGTGAAGAGTTTCATAATTGGTTTGACATCTCTTTGTTTTGAAAGTTCTAGTTTTCCAGCCTATCAATATCCTCGCAGTTACGATTATGACATTGTTGTACTCCTTGAACGTGAGATTTGCTGCCATTATCACTCCCAGATCTCACATTAGACTTACGCTCTAAAGAGTGATTTGAGTTTGTCTTGAACTCCGATCTTGTTATTTCCTTAATCCTTCTGTAACGTTGTAATTAAAATTTGTCCTCTTTGAACATCATATTGTTGTCAGTAGCCCTATCATGGACAACTCTGTTTATTAATCAGTCTGGAGGCTCGCTGTATCTTCTATGGCTGCCACTCTCTTGCTGATTCTAGTATCGTCTGCCTAGGATGATACAGTACTATGGTTTATATTCTGTCTGTGACAGATATGAGGACGAGAAAAAGAAGGCGAGTACTGAGTCTTGGTAGTACTGTAGCTGTCCCTGGTAGTAATAGTGGGGCAAATGGTGGCAGTGCCTGTGGTGGTGGTGCCCCGTGGCCTGATGGCTAAGGTGCCCTGCGGCCTGGTGGCTAAAGCTCTCGCTTCACACGGCCTTGTTCGGGTTTGATTCCCGGCGAGGGTAGAAACATTGGGCGTATTTCTATACACCAGTTGTCTATGTTCCCCATCAGTAAAATGGGTACCTGGGAATTAGTAGACTGGGGTGGGTTGCATCTTGGGACAAAACTGACCTAATTTAGCCCAAATACTCTGCATAACTAGCGGCTTTCTGTGTGGTAGTACGTCACTGATGTCAACTAAGTCTGTATACCTTGTACATGTACTTGTAGAAATAAAGATATTAGTCGTGGCTGATGGTGGTCGTGGCTAGTGGTGGTCGTGGAATTAGTGGTTACTAAGTGAAAGTTACTCATAACTTGAAGTCGGAGGAATGTGTTATAAACAAACTTGTAAATGCACTTCTCCCTGGAAGAGTGTGTGAGGTACAAAAACACTGAGTGGTGTGTTGTAGAGAGCTGAGTCTGGCTAAGATGTGCTGTCAGACTCCAGCAGCATTCAAACATTTGCTGGTGGCCTTAAAGCTCACTCAAGCGCAAAGCACGCAGCTAGACTTCTTACTCAGAAAATGCTGAACACTGAGAACATTTTTTGAGGTAAGCGAAATCACCGCAGACCCGCAACGCACTTGGCCATGATGATTAGTTTGTATTTAAGCCACGAGTGTCTTCTAGCTTTGTAAGTGATGATAGTGGACAGTCATGCTCAGTGTGTGCCGAGTTTGTTTTAGAGTATAAGAGTCATGTCCCTCCCTTGAACTCCCCGTCTTTTCGTACTTATGACTCCTCGAAGTAGGTGCTTTTAATGGTGGTGAGGGAGGACTCTTGACCCAAGGAAATAGACCTCTCCTCCCTTTCCTTGACTCAAGCCTGATTATCTCCCATTCCCTCAGCCGTTGTATGATCCCTATGACTCCTCGTAAATATGGTAATAATTATAATTCTCATAAATTCACAAGTGTGAGTTATTATATTTATATCTGACTATATTCAACACATGATTATCTCCGAGAAAATTATTTATTTCCTTTGGTGGTGTATTCGTAGCAATAATATTCTTTAAATTATTATAGGTAAAGTAAAGGACTCTGTTATACATGTTCATAGAATTATAATGAGGTTCTAGCGTAACTAGAGATATGCAGTACATACACTACTGTATGTATATTGCAACTCGGAAATATGATTTCCTCAGCAGGTGCTGGCTACTGCAGAATGTTTCTTATGTTTATGTGGTCTGCTTATTTTATCAATCTTGATCTTTGACGAACCTGTTCACTCTTGTAAAGCAGAAAGATAACTTTCTGCTTTCTCAGACATCTGTAGCCTCCATAAATTTTCAGCCTCAGATCTTCCAGCCTGTCTTCTTGTACATTAATTTCCATATAGCTCCCAGTCTTTATTAGTCATCGAGGTCATTTTTGCACTCAAATCCCAGAATTATTTGATTGTATGCCACTAAGCTGCTGGAGCTGTGATTACTGAACTTTAGTTTTTCAGCATTTTACTCGCTAGGGTTCCTGGGTGGTTCACTCGCAACAAGTGTGAACAAGTATGTCAATAAAAGACCGCACAGGATAGATATTCTAATTTACTGATGATTCACTACGCAATCTTCCTCAAGACCACACACACACACACACACACACACAACACACACACACACACACACACACACACACACCACACACACACACACACACACACACAGAGGGAGCAGATATGTTGTGCGTGCCACTTACCACAATCTTCAACACGTCCCTGGAAACTGGGCAACTACCTGAGGTATGGAAGACGGCAAATGTAGTTCCCATTTTTAAAAAAGGAGACAGAAAAGAGGCACTAAACTATAGACCTGTGTCATTGACGTGTATAGTATGCAAAATTATGGAGAAGATTATCAGGAGGAGAGTGGTGGAGCACCTGGAACGGAACAAGAGTATAAATGCCAACCAGCACGGATTCACGGAAGGCAAATCCTGTGTCACAACCTTCTGGAGTTTTATGATAAAATAACAGAAGTAAGACACGAGAGAGAGGGGTGGGTTGATTGCATCTTCTTGGACTGCAAGAAGGCCTTTGACACAGTTCCTCACAAGAGATTAGTGCAGAAGCTAGAGCATCAGGCGCATATAACAGGAAGGGCACTGCAAT